TTGTGGGATTTACACACTCCAGCTGTAGATCTAGATCCACTTGTCTCTTTCGATTCTTTCCTGGGTAATCGGTGATTTGTGTGTTTTGAGCACAACAGCTGAGAAACTACAACAAAAAGAGTTGGACTGGCTTGTGCATGGCTCCACAATGACTTCATTTATCTGGCCAGGTCTGAATGAATAGAGCAGAGCAGAGTCTGTCTCTAAACGCGTGGGCTTTTGGTTCAGGCCCTAACTGATTTGAACAGCTAATTTCCCTTTGAGGGCTTCTACTGTTTGTGGCCCTACACTGCCATATCCAGGCGCATCTCTCTCCTTGTGACGTGCTCTCTCCTTCCCAGTGCTTTCTTTATGGAGGTGAGTTCCACTAAAATAAGCCAACCCAACAGGTTGGAAGAAGAATTGGAAGGGTGAACTTCCCAGGTTCCCAAGAGAAGCTCTTAAAATCATCAAGATTGGAACAGACATCTCTCTTAAAAAATAATCTTATCAGACAGAGAAGGCATCTTTAATGAAATACATTGTTTTTGAGGAATGAAATAAGTCACTTGTTGGATATTTCTAATTCTTCAAGCTGAGCACAGAAGGTGCCTGAAACAGTGATAAATTTATATCACACTAGTGTAGCTGTTTGCATGCAAAAGCCACTTGTTTTTTCCTTCTGGTTCACTTTCCCGCTTTTTCCCCCAAACTCAAAAAAGATCTTGTTTAGAAATTTGTATCCCTACTTTTTCATTTGGAGAATGTTATCGAGTTGATATGAACAAATTGCAGAGGATATACCATTTGAGTAAGATGCACTTTTAATCACTGATCGTTAAAATGGTTATGTTAAATATACTCAATTACACGCATGACTTAACTCTAACAGTCCTTTCTGTTCTCCCAGCTGCTCACGTAGTCCTTAACGATAGTCTGTGGTAGAAACTTGATTATGCCGAATTCATACATTTCGATGGATTTCATCAGCCTAATTAATGCCTCAGTGTGGTCCTGGGGACTGAATGAACGCTTTACTATGTTTGAGGTTAAAGGCAGTGTTGGAATGTGGAAGGTTTTTCTTTCTTAGTTCCTCGTGAGGTACTATGCAAAATAAGGAAACCCATCCCAATGGCAGAAAAATGAGGCTAATTCCTCATCCTTATTTCCGCATCAATATTTTTTGGATTCGATAGACAATTTACAAATATTTTAGCAAAGAGGAAATTACCGCCTGTCCATTGTACCTTAAAACTACACTGAAAAGGAAAAGTTGAAAATAGATTTACAACTGGTGGCTAAATAAATTTCCTTTGACCCGTCAAGGCGGTCCCTGCTCCTTCCCTTCTTCCTGCTCCTATAACTTTTAGACGACTTTCCCCCTCTATTTCAACTTTCTTCCTTCCCAAGGAAGCACTCAAGGCCAGTATTCAGGAGAAACTCCTGTCACCCCCCCATGTGGGTGACTGCATTCAGTCTTTTTAGGTGTAAATTAACATCTGAATACATCTCAACCTTACTGACCCTTACCACCACCACCACTGGGCCTCGGCAGCGTGGCAGCTAATCTGTACCTCCATCACTGACAGGGCAGATGGGGTCGGATTTCCCAAACCCCACCCCCAAGAAAATGACCCAGAAGTGCTTGTATTGCCTGTGAGACAAGTCCTGATATTTGTCCAAGTCCAAAGAGACACCTGTGGAAGAATATCATTTTTCTTGGTGGTCGAGGAAAGAAAGACATATTTTCTTGGTGGTCAGGGAAAGAAAGGTACAGCAAGAGGAAGGAAAAAGAGATGGAGGCATCTTGGCTCTTTAAGAAATGTCCCAACTTGGCCAGGTGAAACTTGAAACTTTTACCTCACTTTGAGTCCCCAAGGACCAACTGTTCACCCCAACAGAACTTCCCTTAAGCTGGGGACCCGCTGACCCGGATCCTAGTTGCCACTGGGCAACATCATACCTTGACGTGGATCTGATGGAACAGGAAGGATTTCAGATCTGTAACCAAATTACCACCTTGGAACTTGGTGCTTGTTATGCTAATGTAATGACTTCTGTAGTAAGAGTATATTTTCAGGATTGGAAATTAGCTTTTTAAAATGCTTTGCGTAATGACAGACATTAGACAGAAGAGAAAAATGCGCCAGCGGTGGTGGCACAATACTCCTGGCAAACACCCTGGGCCATTTTAACAGATAAATGGGAACCCAGATATGTTTGTAAAATTAAGCTGAGAGTGAGCTCCGGGAACTGGATGAGAAAGCAGGTGCAGGCAGCCAGACCATTGCAGTGGTGAAGGTGCTCTTGCAACCCCCACCTTTTCTCTCAGACCTGATGGAGTAGCAGCATAGTGCATTGCTCAGTCCCTCAGGCTGGATTGCCCAAGGAGAAAAAAAAGAGAAGTGTTTCGTAAATAGTACTGCAAATGAACAGTTACCTCCAGTTCATGGTTTGTGCACTCTTAAGTTTAGATTGCTGAGAGTGAGGGAAAGAAATATTTCCTGGTGGAGGGGGAGGTGTATGCAAGTATAAAGAGAAATGAACAACTTAGAATTTTAGAGCCATATACTCTGAGGTTGTCCAGCACATCTCCTGTATCCAGTGTATTATATCTCTGCATTGTGTGATTAAGAATTCAGGTAAATCCTCATATTTGTGGTATTGACCTTGGGTGTTTATGTCTAGGGAATCAAGGACAAGATAATTTAATGCACCATATTTCTTAAAAAAATAAGACTCTTCAGTGTACAGGGCTGGGATTGGATCAGTCATTTCCCATAAATGTAAATAAGGTAAATTCACATACTGATCAAGGATCCAAGAAGAGAACTCTTTCCGTCGGTCACCTGCCCTTGATGAACGGCAGAGCTCAGTTACTCCCAGCCTGGTTATTGCGTGCCTAGTTCTTTCCCTTCCCCCTCCCCTTTGCCCCTACCCCCACCCACCCATGACAGTACTTCGGAAATTAGTGACTCCGTTCCTCGACGGGTTTTCACCCTTTCTGCATGACACAGGTTCCAAATGTCAACTTGCAGCTATGGAGAAGCCCGTGAACTATGATAATGGATAAACTCTACTGTGTTAACAGTCCTGATTGGAGCCAAGACATAGTCTGAATGAGTTGGGGGCTTCTGAGATCTTACAAAATGAGGCCAATTTGAAATGTTGGCACTGAATGCTGAGCTTTTTATAATAGCTCACGTTGTCCCATTTTCTTCTAGAGTTGAATAGGAGCAAAATACCTGGCTTGATGCAGTGGTTCTCTGATGACAAATGAACTAATTAGAGGTGGTCTTTCTTAGTTCATCCCAAGGATCTTAGCGATGGTAGATGTGGGAAATGCAGGCTCCAACCGCTTTAGTTTTAGAAAAGACAAGTTTTACGCATTCATGCTTTGAAGTTATAAACTGAATTTGTCTCACCTAGCTTGCTATCGTCTGCTCCCCGCTAGCACTCTTCCTTATATAGAATGTTTAGGTAGGCTAAGGGCAACTGTAATATTTAATACATCCACTTACTGACAAAGCAAATGCATGAATCAGACTACCTTTCACCTTTGGTGGGCAAATGATTTGTAGTATGCCAAGGTCATGAGGCTTCTTTGCAAGGTTCTTCTGAGATAAGTTAACATGTTTATCACATAATCTAATCTACCAAGTGGGGTAGATTCCACAGTAGTTCGCCCAGTACTACTTTTTTAGAGAAATGCCCGAGGTAAAACAAGTCACTGAGCTAACAGTACAGAGTAGTATATCATAGATAAAAGGGGAGAGAATACAGATAAGGAAGGATTACATCTTCTTCATGCTCTCTCCATGATATGGCAGCGTTTGTGTGTGGCAGATTGTAGAGACAAGGCCAAGAGTGCAACAAGAGACAGTGACATCGAGGCAGAGAAACAGCTTTCTGGAGATTTATGGCTTCCCGTTATTTATGATCAGATGCCATTCAGTCGCTTTTGAGCTGCAGGATTTCTATACTGCAGAAATCCTGATCATGTGGATGGGAGTGAACGAGGAATTCAAAGGATAGGTTTTGAACTTGTTGGACATTTAGTTTCAGATTTCAACTCCCAAATCCAAATCTGGATTGCTCATTGGTTTCAGGAGTTAAACACCTAATTTGAAATTCTGTTATAAACTCTATGAGAGCAAACTTAGGTAAGCTTAGAAATAGCTTTGAATCCCTGATCCCAATACGCACATTACTTGTTTATGGAAGAAAAAAGGGAGCACCTGGTCTCTAACCAGGAGAGAAGCCTATTCGCAATATCTTGACCCATCTCAGCAGGTCGGTCCTCAGCAGTTTATAGAGACCCCGACATTTAAGCCATCTGGGTAGCTCTGGTCTCCTGTCATCCAAACAGCACATTTTTCAAACTCAGAAATGCCAGATCGTGTTATTTCTGTGGCAAGGGGTTGCTTAGGATCTGTGACAGCTGAGTTTTTCCTATCGATTATGTGACAGTGCAGTTCATTTACAGAGTTCAGGGGAATGAGAAAAGCCTTCAGTTTAACAAGAACAACTTTAATTCAAGTGCTGTATTGTATTTAAATGCAGAAATCCCAAAATTCAGGTTGGAGAAAGTGGAAGAGTGAATTAAATTGTGAACCCAAACTTCTCTGGTTAAATAAGCCTCCTAGGAGGGCTGTGACTGAGAATTTAATCTGAAGCCTTGTGGTTGGGAAACTGGATTTGTAAACCATGCAAGAAATCATATCTTACACAAAAAACTCATATTTAGATCAATGTGTGTGTTTAAACTTGCTCCTAAATTCGAAATACAGAGTGAGTCCAAAATGTAAAAAACAAATTAAAGGACACTCTTGTGAATGTGTGTGTGTGTGTGGGGGGGTGGTTATAGAGGTGCTAACCTACAAACACTTTGAAACATCTTTTTCAGATTTATCTTAAGTTCTGAAATTATTTAATATGCACACATTCTTCCATTGCATCCACAGGTAAAAACATCATTATTTATCTTGAGTGTCAACTCCTAATAATTTTCTCTGTCGCAGGATACAGACAGGCAGAAGTAACTAGACGTCCAAGGTCTTGCCGGCCCAGGATTTCAAACAAAAGAAAACTCGGGTAACAGGACTGTAAATCACGGGCGTTTGGGACCTTAGACACGCGCACCCAGAAGGGTTAATCCGAGGAGAGGGAGGGGAGAGGCTCCTCCTGCAGTCTGTGTGAGTGACAAGAAGAAAGGGAGAAGGGGCTGGAGCGGCTTGGTGGGCGCCCCGAAGGCCCCGCGCAGAACGCGTTCCCTCTTTGGGGAACTGCGTGCGGCTGGGATTGGGGGCGGGGTGGGGTACAACCCGAAAACTGCGGCCTGGGCTGTGGCCTGCACCCTGCTCACCCTGCTGGCAGCCCTTCGTGTGTCTGCTTCTTTATTGCCTGAAAGCCATGCAGCATGTTGAAGGCACAATGATCGACGATTTGTCAGCCCAAATTTGTTACTGGCAATAACTTTTCGTGAAGTTTCACTCTCGGGCACTTGAGTTTGGGGATGAGGAAATTGGTGAGGGGAGAGCATGATGCTGTGGGCTGCTTCTCATTTAGACGTGGCCCAGGCAGGGAGTAGAAGGAAAAGGAACATTAATCCCACTGCAGTCGCTCCAGCACACCAGCCGTGGGATCCAGGGGAGAAACTGGTTTCTTCTCCCACAAAACTCCGCCTTTCTCCGGAGATCCTTCCTGGCCTCATTGCCAGACCACGGTTCGTTGTGCTGTCCCACGTGGGTGATTAAGTGTAAGAGACACCAGGGGGAGAGAAGGCCTTAAATCCTGCCACCCAACCCTCAACCTTCATCCATCATCCCTCACGAAAGTTTGTGTTCTTGGGCCCACAATTCATTTGAGCACCCCCGGACGGAGACCCTGAATTTAGAAGATTTTTGTTTTGTTTTGTTTCCTTTTTCTTTTGTGTTTGTATTTGTGGGTGACTCTCAAATGCTCAGGGCAGGGCCCTCACTCTCAAGGGGAAATGTTGACCTTTTTGCGCCTGGGTTTCCCTTCTTCTTGTTGGCCTGGTGGATGTGGTGGTCAGCGGCTGGCTTGTCCCATGGGTGGAGCTGCTGGAGCATCTGCTGTGGAGCACCTGCTGTGCCTCACCCCTCTTTTTTGACAATCGTTAAGATTCAATTTCAAAATTTCTGTCTTTAACAATTTCCTAAGGAGCCTATGAAGGATGTCAAAAGAGTGGGCCTCTTTTCAAGTGGTCGTCTCTTGGCAGCACTCAGGCACTGGTCATTGTCCCTGGCTGTGCCCTTCTTCAAGCAGTCCAGTGGATAGTTCTAGAACAAAGTGCTGTGCCCACTTGGGCAGAGCTTGAGGGAACAGCTCTGGGAAAGTCTTAAGGCAAGCTGGAAGCTGAGGAAGGCAGCCAGCTTTTTCTTCACCCACATTGCCCCTGGAGCATAGCCTGTCTGGTCCTGGGGATGGAGCTCAGAACCAAGTGGAAAGTTCTCACTCTTTAATCTCACCATTCCGCATTGACTTTCTTCTCCATACTCAGCTCACTGGCTTCTCCTTGATGCCAAAAAGAAAAATATTTGTGTATCGGAAAGTTCTCTTCTTCCAGGAAGCTCCCCTTAACAGCTCTTGCTCCTTTGGTGGAGAAGTCTGCTTCTGGGACAAGGGGAGACCCCTAAGGTGTTTTGAGAAGCAGAAAAATAGACTCACTTGCTCAGTGTGCCGTAGGTAGCTAAGTTTCATCAGGAGCTTTGACTGAGAGTTGCCGACCTCTGAGAAGTTTTTCATTCCCTGCTCCAAAAATTTAAGGTGTGATTAGTACCAAAAACGCCTCCCTTAAGTAACAGCCATTGGACTCTATGGAGGGGATATAGCGTTTCTTTGAAATTCTAGGTGGGAGTTAGGGATTACCTGACTACTACTGCCCTTAGCTCTTCATCTCATATCACTACCTTCCCAAACACCAGCCTCCTTCCCTGCGAAACCACTGGCCCCTCAGCATACCTAGCACTTTTTCTCCTCTCCTTAAATTCTTATCCCTTACTCTTTCTTCCTCTGAGGCCCTGAGGCAAATTCTCAGAATTAAATCATAATCTTCTTCCAAATGCCATGAGAAGTTAGAAGGGAAATTTGGGGGCCACGCTGAAAATACATGATATGGAGAGTTAATGGTCCGGCTGAATCCTGTTGACAAGTGGCAGTTTGGGGTATCAGCAATGAATTCCACATTTTTCTACAGGCTTCTTTTTACTTTATTTTCAGGATCCACTGATCCTGATAGATACAAGTTAAAAATGAAGTAAATTAGAGAAATGTTAAAGAAAGACCAGATTAAGCCCTTTCTGGACTGGCAGCCATCATATCTTATATAGCTCATGCTTATTTGGACAGACTATTTCATACCACTGAAAACTTAGATTAACACCCAAATCACTGCCTCTCGGTGTTTAATTACAAACCTGGCAGAGTGGAGACTATGTACCGATTGAAAGAAAATCAATTGGTGCTTATTAGCCATAACAAATCAATAAAAACAATTAACTGGCGAAATAATATTAACAACATGCCCTTGTTACCATCACACAGAAGTTCCTGAGAATTTTGCAGCTTCCTACCGCACCTATTTTATTGTTTCACTACCTGATTTTGTGGAATTTCTGCTTGTGTATTACCTCAAGTTGTTTCCTGGAAGTGTAACTTGAATGAGTTTCACAATCATTTCGTACCATGGTCCCAGAATAAGTCTGAATACGTCTACTGATGAGGGCTTTTGATATTCTTTCCCCCAGGGAAGAGGCCGCCTATTGTAGTGGAGAACACACTAGGCTCCAGATGCTGAGCAGCATCTAGGTTCTAGTTGAGGCATGTACCTAATAGTGTCTGCGTAAGGCGGTTCATGTGTCTGGGCTTCGGATTTGACACACGTAAAGTAAAGAGATAGGACTAGATAATCTCTTAGGTCCCTCTCAGTCCCTAAATTCTGTAGTTCTATAACATGTTTGTGAATTTTCAACAAAAAAGAAGATCCAAGTCTATGGGTTACTGAATAAAATATCTATTTATTTCAGTCCTTTTAGTAAAAGTGTATGCAGAAGACTGACAAAGGATTTTTGGTCTTTTCCTGGGAGAGATTCTAAATTTGAGTAGAGGAAACCGAGGCATTGTTTTCTTGTTTACAAATGAACCATTGTCTTATACTTTAACTTCTCTTCCTTTTCAGATCCAACTTAGAAATAATGTTTCACTCAGCATAAGGCTTGTGGTTTAGGAGATTCTGGCCTGGCTTGCCTCATTCTAAGACTTCTATCATCTCTTTTCAAAACCAAAGGAGGATCTCATTTCCTGTTTGATAGTTCCTCATGCTTTGCCAGCCTCCGGGTCTTTAAGGAAACTTGCCAAGAGTTCCAGGCTGGGAAGGACAGTCAGAGTTCATCACAGAGAATGAGCTGGCACCACCGGTATGGTGACTCACCAACCTGGTTGCCCATTTTGCAATGGCAAGAACCACACTATCTACTTGAAAGACCTGTGTTTTAGCAAAGTGCAATTGGATCACCTGCAAAATCATCTCAAAATATATCTCTGATCTTCCCTTTCACTGGCTGTTTTGAACACAAGACAAGTAAGGAAACTATATCCCGAATTATATTTTGTTTTCTAAAAATTAAGATGAATAGATACTTGGTTTTCTGTCCGTTCTGTTCTAGGAATTTAGTGGTGATTGCAAAACAGTGAAAATAGGTCACAGCAAAATGAACGTTCAAGATTAGGTTAAAACATTCCTCTGAAATTTCAGTATTCATTTTTGGAGTGTCAGTTACTACATTTCTGTAATTCATCATTTTTTTTTCTTGGCTTAGAGTCAAGATGAGAAATGATATTCAGACCAAAGACATTGTTTTGTTATATAGACACTGCTTTTTAAAATGCAAATGCACCCTCCTCTCACCAATGCTTGATAGTTTGTGCGTGCTCATACTCACACACACACACACACACACACACACACACACACACACACACACACACCCACGGCACCCAGATGCTGGAGAAAGTCCCTTCAAGACTTCTGGGACCTGGGTCATGTAAAAGGTAGATGAGAAAATTAAATTAAAGGAGCACCAGAGCAGTAGCAACAGTAGGAGTCAAGATTTTACTTTACAAAAAGTCATTGTAAGTACTCAGGCATTTTTAAAAGCAAGTATTATGATGATTAAAACATATTATACTTCTAAGTTTTTACAATTCTCCACTAATTTCAAGTCACATACGGGAGACATTTTAAATTATTTTGTATTACAATCTGTCACCCAAAATCAACCAGTAGAGTTTTATAATGTGCATAGGTTTACCGCATGGGGAATTACATTTTAATTCATAATTCTTTCTATTGTTGTGGAAGTTTAGGACAAGATACCCTTTGGTATTAATGTGGAAGAATATTCTATGGCTTTTTTTAGCTTAAATGTACTTTGCTCTGAAATAAAGTGCACACTGGACTTTTTCCCTCCCGGTGTTCCTTTGTTATATAGAGAGTATTTTTACAATGTTGTTTTTGGTGTGTACATTATTTGTATTGTCAATGGTAAAAAATAAAATATATAGTAATGATAATGGCCCCTTGCTTTTCTCCTAATTTTATTATTTCAAGGCAAGCAAAAATGGACACTTTTCTCTCAGGAAAAAAAAATATTGAGTGTATTTTTGACGCAAAAATGGTTATTTAGTTACAGTATTTTTCCCTAGTAGATTGGTGTTTATGATGGATCTTGTTTCAAAGCTGATTACTCTCAAAGAAAAGCAGACAGATATTAGAATTTGTGAGTAAATTACATTGTTTAAAAAGTATTTTAATACGTTATTCAAATTGTCAGCTATTGGTAAAAAAAAGAAAAGAAAAGAAAAAAGCAGCATTTGTTACCAATGTGAAATTTTGCCGTTCAAAAGACCTTACAAATTCCAATTTTTTAGGACAGCAGTGGAAATTAATATCAAAGGCATAGACAATTTAGAGCTTGCTCAATTTTTTACTTTTTTATTTTTTTAACTTTGTGATAGGCATCTCTGCAAGGTAGGTTTTAACATATTTTTTTCCTAATTTTTTTTCCTCCTTTCAGTAAGAAGGATAAGCTTTTAGAGTACCCAGTCACCGTGGTAACTGCCAAAAAAATTCTCCTGAAGTTTGAAGAGGTCAGCTAGCAGGGTCAACAACTCTGGCCTCTCCGCGAGCTCGGTCTAGCATGCCCCAGCCTGTGGTTGGAGTGTCAGGCCAGATCTGACCCTGGGAGGTGGACTATTCCGGCTCTGATATAAATTTTTTGAGTCAGTTCATGGCCTGGACTCTCCAGGTGGCCTCCAAAATCGATTTTGACCCCCTGACCCTGTCTCACGGAGGCATAGCATTCACCCTAAGTAAGGATTTAGCCAGGAATGACAGCTTTCCACTGAGTGTTATTGGGGACAGTATAAACAGTTTGGAAAGCAAGGAAGGAGGTGTGAGTGCTGGAAATCATTAAAAGCACATTAAAAAACAATTCAAGGAAATTTTCTTTGTTAAAAAAAGATAAAAATGTATGTTTGTTACATAATTCTGGTGTGATTTGTAGGATTTTTAATCAAAGAAAAGTTTTGAATATAAATAGTTAATAAACCACGCATCTTTATCCTCTTACGTACTTTGTTACAAATATGAAAATTAGATAGCCTGACTTGCAACAAAATAGGTACAACAGAGATGAAACATGTACAGAAAAGGGAAGCTAGTTATTACAATACATTAATGGATAAAGAGTTTCCTAGTATTTTAAATACGAAATTTTGTGTGTGCGCCTTGAATTGTTTACAATGGGGGAAAAAGGGACCTTAAAAAAAACCCACCCACCATCTGGAATGAAGATGAACCTGTGCTGGCTTCAAGTCTCTTGCTACTTTGTAACAGTAAGAACCAATAACGCTCACTTGGGTACAAATGAGTTAAAAATTATAAACATGGAAAGTTAGATCTTATACAGCTAAAGAGGAAAAAACAGCAAATTAATAGTGTCTCTGAATTAACTTTATGTATTTTCAACAGGTTAAGATATCTAAAGCTTGGAAAATAAAAATAAGGTACATAAATCATCAATGATTCTGTCTTTTTCCTTCTTTTTGTTTTTTTCCAGGATGCCACCCTGGGAGTTTTATTTTCTCCAGGAAAGTAGAGTTGTCTTTGGGAATTCTAGCTTGCGAACTCACTATGTAAATGTGGTCATCAAGCAAGACGGAACTGCCAAGAGGGAAGATTTTGAATGTTTCTCTTTCTTAAAACCCTTTACAGCATTCCTTCTTCCAGTGGTACTTTACTCAAAAGTTTTCCCCTTTCCCCAGCGCTGTTGAAAATGGCTCCAAAGCAAAACTGCAGTAGCTAAACCAGTTGTACTGTGAAGTTGTTGAGGTGACATTTCATCTGAATCCTTTGTAAAAATTAGATTTTAAGTAAGGGTGAATGTCCATTTGGGAAAAGGGACAAGGGAGGGTGGAAGGAGAGAGGGAGAGGACCGAGCAGTTTATATACATATATGCTCTTTGTGTTTGAAGGCCTCTCTGTCTTGGCTTCTCACTATGTTAAATCCCTATGATAAAACTTATCTTCACAAAGCCTATTATAGTATTCTGAGAACAAATTGGACCATGAATAACTTAGTTGGAAGTGTAGATTATTTTCTACTCAGGGCAAGTTAGCGATGACAACAGCTTAACTAAAAGAATAGTGATTAATCTTAAATAGATAGATTTCAAAGTTTCCCTCTTGGCAAAGTGCACCTTTGATATCTGTCCTCTTCAGAGGCAGGTTTCCACTTTCTTTGAATTAAGAATTGTCCTAGTGAATACACTGTCCACTTGACACACCAGGGCTCTAAGCGTAGATCTTTTTCTCATAGGTCGTTAATGTGTCAGAGAGGGGACCAGAAGGACTCTCTACTTCCCATTGGTTAAATGTCTGGTTCCAAAGTGGGACCTGTGCTTAGACATCCAACTCACTGTTAGAAATGATACCTTGCATAAGGCATAATTTTTCAATTAGATACAATTATTTTTTAAAAACATCTTAAATTTGTTGAATGCCCTGTAGCTTACAAAGCACTTCTCAAGTCGTAATATTGTTTGATCCTTAGAATCATGTTATGAAGTAAACAAATATCATTAATCCCACTTTACCAAGGAAGCTGTCGTTTGCGCTCTGTGATCCTGCTGATCAAAGGAAATATTAACTCAAATTTTATAGCTTCTGTTTCAAGTGATTAACCTATAGCAAGAGGCTTTTGAATTATTTTTGTGTTCTATATCCCTGAAAGTCAAAATTTTTATTAAAGAGTAAAATTTTTATGTTTCACAGATAAAGAAGTTAAAAGAACTGATTGGAAAAAACTCTTCACTTAGAAATGAATTTTGCTAATTATTGTTTTCCTTTGCATGTACATACACATATATATTTATATTTCAACGGTCTTTCAGAGTTGAAGATCTTACTTTCTAAAAGTCAAGTATGGGCAGTCCTGTATAAATTAAATAACTACGTGGAATTTTAAAAGGTACCTGAAAACTATGTTTCAAAATACAATATTACAATAAAAACCCTTTAGAAGCAGGTTCAGAATATTAACTAATTATTTAACAGCATGCCATTGATTAAGTTCTAGAGTGCTATAGGCGAGGTTTCCCTTCTGGTGTTTTTTTTTCCAGCTTTATTGAGATATAATTGAGAAATAAAATTGTAAGATATTGAAAGCGTACGTCATGATGATTTGATACATATATGCATTGTGACAGGATTCCTCCCACCTACTTAATGAACACATCATCACCTCACATATTTATCTTTTTTTTGATAAGAACATTTAAGTTCTGCTTTCCTAACAAATTTCCATTATTCAATACAGTGTTATCAACTATAGTCACCAGGTTATGCATTAGAGCCTCAGACCTTTTTCATTGTATAGCTGAAAGCTCGTACCTTTTTACCAACCTCTTCCTATTTCCCTCACTATCTAGCCTCTGACATTCTAGTTTTTGTGTGTGCTTGTGTGTGTGTAAGGAAGATTGGCCCTGAGCTAACGTCTGTGCCAATCTTCCTTTATTTTGTATGTGGGTCACTACCACAGCCTGGCTTGATGAGTGGTGTGTAGGTCTGCGCCTGGAAATCAATCCTGCGAACCCCAGGCCGCTGAACTGGGGTGCGTGAACTTAACAACTACGCCACTGGGCCAGCCCCGCTTCTGGTTTTTATAGACTAGTATCTTTGAACATCTTAGCAAGTCTGGATAAACAAAGTTGTCTAAGACTGCTTTTGTTTCTCTTCAGTTTTTACTATGTCAAAAAAAAAGTTTGCAAAATACTCTAGAAAGAATAAATAAAAAGTTTAGTTAATCTGATATTGATGTAACCCGTCTAAACATACAGAAATCAAGAAATACAAAAAGATAGCACCATGTGATTCTTCATGGGTTTTTAATGATATCATTTTAATTATGTAATATAGACAGCGTGGATACCAATATGGAAATTATTTTTTTATTTCTGAAATTGTATGCACTTAACTTAGTCATTTTATATATATACTTAAATTAAGGCTTTTGTCCCTGAATTATGCTGGCAGCCAGACTAATCTAGTCAAGCTTTTTAGGATTAGAAAAAAATGAAAAAAAGTATCCAGAAAAGGAAAAGCAACTGTTCTGGTTATATGTCGCATTTGTGAGGTTGTTATCGACAATGACATGTATTATAACCCTTCTTGTGCTAAGGTTTTTCAATTAAAACATGATGCTAGACTGAGGATTGTTCATTTTGATTTGGAGGTAGATGCTCAAGCCCCCAAATTCAAACTTCTAACGTCTTCTCTACTAATTAGAAAATCAAGAAATCAAAAATAAGGACTCTGTATTAACAATGGTATGTTTGTTCAGGTGCTCTTTGAAATTGTTAAGTTTCTCATTATATTACCAACTCATTCATTTTGTTCATGAGTGTCTTTAATAGCTGCCACTGTCCAAAACACGTTTTTTTCCTTTCTTCCTTTCCTTCTTTGTTTCTTCTTCTCCTCGCTTCTTTTCCCTCAATTTTGCCCCCTTTTCCTTGCTTCCCTCTTTTCCTACCTCTCTCTTTCTTGTGTTACTCATCAGTTTTTAGGTAGTTTTGTTGTAAAATGTAGGGCAGCTTGGGCTAAGGGGCTTATTTAATGCAATATATTATGCCAAACTGATAACACTCACTTTAGTTAGACTTATAGCAAGTCAGAGAACCCTGAAGTGTAATATCAAGACTTCTCTGAGAATCAACGTCCAATCCTGAGGGATCAACTTTTGATGTTACAGATTCTGACAATTTCCCTCTTGCAGTCTTTATAGTCTTTCTAAGTCATCTAAGGTATTGGTTAGTTTTTATGTAAACTTCTCATGTTGCAAAAGAAGAACAAGAAGAAGAAAAAGAAGGAGGAGGAGAAGAAAGAAAGAGAGAAGGAGAATTATTTTAGGAATATGAAAAGAAGTTTTGTCAAATTGCAGCATATAATTTGTGCGTAAGTACATAGAAGCACCATGTTAGCATTGGAAAGCGTAAACAAAGGTCAGAAATTCCTCCTTTTTCTTTGAAGTCACCCCTACCCAACGTACTGCAGTTTTAAGGGTATGTTTTCTATCTTTCTCTGTCTTCTGAAGCTGTTACCAATCTGGACAGATTAACAAAATTTTGGCAAAATAGGATTTTATTTTAAATGGTACAAGAATTTTTCTAGTGAAGTTTTTAAGTAAAATCAGCCAGCTATACAAATGTTCTGTATTCTTCTGAAAAGAAAAGTATAATATCCATGTAGTAGAAAATCACAATGCATAGTGAAAAATTCAGTCAACTATTTGGGTATTAGTTTCTATAATGTTAGGCTTTTTCTCTCTCTCAATATTGTGAATACATCTAGCATATTTGAGTGCTGATAGATACAGTTTGTGATGATGAGACTTAATATTCTGGAGAAACTGAGAGGTATTCTGTTTGTGTTGAGTGTTGTTGGGTACCTACTATCCATTGAATAAGCATAATTGACTTCCTCTAGAATAGGTATGAGGCATTTCTCCAGGTTATTCAAAGATGAAAAGAAGAAATCCCTGCCGTTATGGAATTGTGTGCTGGGTCTTGGGAGGGAGTAAGGATCGGAATTAAAAAAAATACAGAAAAACTCAAGATTTGGGCCCAGCTATCCAGGAAAGAGAAATTGGCATGTACACAGGTGTCTCTTCAGAATAAGCTATGAACAAACAGCTATGGAGTCGCCTGGAGAAACTTGTTGGGGAAAATGGGGCTTGAAGAATAAATAGGACTGTGACAGATACGGGACCATCTTCCAGGTGGTGGGGAAGGATAGAGAAGTGAGACGGAATCATGCACCAAAGAAATTATTTAATGGATTTAAAATAAAGTTTCTAGAATAACATAAAATGAGACTGAATATTTTCTGTTTTAATAGACCATTCTATAGCTTTATTCATTCAGTAAATACTGTCATCAAAAATGCCATGAAAATATGTTAGTAGGAATAAAAGCATTTCTTTTAAAGAGAGTTAAAATCTTCTTTAAAAAAAAAAGAGTAAAGAGGAGTAAGTGTGAGAAATCTCCCGTTTCTCACACTAGATTCTTTCTGGATCTGGGTGCCTCTGAGTTCCTCGATATCCTTATCTGGATATCTAGTTCTTATATTCGTGAAATAAGGTTTCACATATTAAAATGAAGACTTTTGTGGGAAATCAACATTCTTTTTCAAAGATATTTTCTGGGTCACTTCTTATGTGCCACTTGCTCTTTCATTATAGAGTCACAAATAAATACTGCATCTTAAAAATGTATTTTTAAGTGAATGAATCTTCAGGCTAAGAGAAGAAAGAAATTGTTTTTTATATTCTGCCAGTCAGAGGCCCTGTATTCATGCTTTGCAAGTGAATGAAAGTTTAGAAATATAAATTAGGGGCCGGCCAGGTGGTGCAGTGGGTAAGTTCACAGGTTCCGCTTCGGTGGTCAAGGGTTTGCAGGTTCAGATCCCAGGTGTGGACCTATGCGCTGCTTGTCAAACCATGCTGTGGCAGGTGTCCCACATATAAAGTAGAGGAGGATGGGCACACATGTTAGCTCAGGGCCAAGCTTCCTCAGCGAAAAAAGGAGGATAGGCAGCAGATGTTAGCTCAGGACTAATCTTCCTCAAAAAAAAAAAAAAAAGAAATATATTTAAATATGTTTAAAAGCCCACAGAGATATCTTGCAATCAGGAAGTATCAGCCAATTGTATGAGCATCCTCAGAATCTTTGGTAAAAAGACACTAAAAGGCAAAGAAGCAGGGAATAGAGGCATGCTAAGTACATTCTAGCAACATCAGTGTCATCCTATAATAATCAAAATAGTAAACTAATACAAACGTTTTGGTGATGGAAAGCACAAGAATCCAGGAATAGAATGTTTGTTATGTGTCAATCTTCCTAATAAGAAACCTCAAGGCAAGTGGAAACTAGATCTTACACATAAAGCTTAAAAATCCAGACCCAAGGAATATTTTACAGGAGAAATGTGTGGACATGTATGAAACACCAAATTACAATGAAATCTGAGGGGCCAGCCCTGTGGCCGAGCGGTTAAGTTCACGTGCTCTGCTTCAGCGGCGCAGGGTTTTGCCCGTTCGGAGCCTGGGCGTGGACACGGCACCGCTTGTCAGGCCATGCTGAGGCGGCATCCCACAAGCCACAACTAGAAGGACCCACAACTAAAAATACACTTTGGGGAGAAAAAGGAAAAATAAAATCTTTAAAAAAAAAAAAAAGAATGAAATCCGATGCAGATAATATGGATGGATGCAAGGGTTTGCAAAGGTAAAAGAAACACTTATTCTTATCTCTGGCTGGTTAATTAAGTTGGATAAGGCAGTGGTTAATTGTCCAGAACCATATATTTAATTTTAATTTAATTTTGCTCTGCTACATAGCCTCAAACTAGTGCCCTGCCCTAACAGAAGGCTTTCACGTATAGGTTCCTTTCACTCGGTAAACAAAACTTTCGAGTGCTCATAAGGGATGAGCAGGTGCGATCGAAAGAGGAAGGTGTTACAATTAAAAGGAAAAGATGGCATACCTCCTGCCCTCAAAGATACGAACAATATTCATATTTAAGGCTCCACCCAAAGTAAATTATTGACATTGCTTTCAGTACCCACTTAAAGACCACTTGTTTGCAAAGCTTTTCCTTTATAATTACTGCAGCTGTATATCAGATATCCCAAGTACCGTAATTCTGAGCTTGACTCTGGCGCTGCAAACAATACAAATGTTTATAGAAGCAGAAGTGAAAGTGATGTGTAGAATAAAAAGTGAAAGTGCCCTGTGTCACTCCTCCAGAAGTGTGTATCCTTCCAGATCTCAGATAGAAAGATGGATATATGTGGGGATGGAAAGATAGGTAGATAGAAGACAAGTAGATAGATAGATAGGTGATAGATAGATAGATAGATAGATAGACAGATGATAGATAGATAGATGATGGATAGATAGATGATGGATAGATAATAGTTAAGAACAGAGACTCTGGATCTAGATAGTCAAGGTTGGAGTCCCAGCTCTACTACTTACTACATGTATGATCTCAGTTTTCTCATCTGTAAAAGTTAGTACAATAAGTACAATAGTACTATCTCACTGGGTTATTGTAAGTACAGATTAAGTGAGATTATATATGAACTGCTTAGAGGTGCTTGGCACACAGTGT